CCTGTTATCACAAACTGGTATTTGCATTCTAGGTTTAATACATTAATGACTGTAAGTAGAAAATTTTGATTCACGTTAGCCAGTGGCAACTCTTTGTGGGCACCTTATAAACCAGTGGGTCTCAACCTTTCTAATGGTGTGACCCTTTAATACTGTTCCGCATGTGGTGACCCCAACCATAAAATTATTTTCATTGCTACTTCATAACTGTAATTTTTCTATTGTTAGAAATCTTAATGTAAACACCCGTGTTTTCTGATGGTCATAAGTGACACCCTTGAAAGGGTCTTTTAACCCCCGCAAAGGGGTCACAGTCCACATGTTGAGAACCACTGCTATAAACAGAAATAATGTTAAGGGAGTACGTATCCTCAAAGATAACCTCTCCATGTCTGCTTGTCATCATGACATTCCATTCTCAGACACTAGGACACAGGGCGATGCTTAAGTCAGAGCCCACTCTGAGACACTGCTCCAGGCAGATGGGCGTCGCCAGAGTGAGGGCACCTAGTTTCAAGAGGGGGACATTCCAGGGTAGTATTTTCTCTTGCTGGAAAGAAAAAACTGGCTGCTACTGCTTTTTTGTTTAAGACAGGACTCCACATAGTCCAAGGTAGCCAGAAACTTGCCATGTAGCCCAGAATGACCTTGAATTCCTCCTGATCCTCTGGTCTCCACTTTCTGTGTTCTGGGAGTGTTAAGTGTGTACCACTCATATGGTTTATGCTGTGCTGGGGATTGAACTGGGGCTTTGTGCATGCCAGGTGAGCACTCTGCTAACTTAACTACACAACCAACCCATGACTGCTACTTTTTAAGACCAACTGATTCAACACTTTGATTTAGGGTCATCACATTTTACAATTAGAAAAAAATTTACTAATCATTTAGTTTGCTCCTCTCTTTCATAAATGAGGAAGGTGAGAAAAATAAATTCAAATTACTTAGGTACCTGGAAGAGTACAGAAAAAGGAAGCTCTCTAATGTGCCCATTCTGGAATTGTTCACTAGATGTATAATGCTTGTGTCTTAAACCAAAAAAAAGTATACATGTGAACATGCTTTACAATGTATATTTAGTTTCTTCCATCTCCTTTATGGCAGCTTTCTCAAACTCGAGATGTGTTATTTGAATACACAGTGTATTATGTAACATTGCTATCTGGCACTTCCAAAATATACCCCACCCCCCGCTACTTCTCAGAAAAGAGAGCAGTATTTGTAGTTTTTCAGATGTAAGAATGGAAAGAGGAATGTGGATCAGAGTGGCAAAGACGGTCAGGATAAGGCTTTACTGGAGACCCATGTGGTTTTGTGATCAGGGCTGTGCACGCAGCATCATGCTAGGTGTAGTGGCAAACACGAAAGCTAGGGCCTCACTGGAGACCTGTATGGCTTTCTGATCAGGACTGTGCTCACAGAATCTCACACTGGACGTCTTAGCAAACACAGTAGCACATTTCTCCTTGGAGTTTTCATTCCAACAGACATTGTCATACAGGTAACACACTTGCAACGTACAAGTGAGAAAGCATGCTGTGTAGATAATTAATAACCAAATGGCCAAGAAATGATGCCAAGCAGGCTTTTTCCCAGCTTTGTCACTGTCAAATCTGCCCTGCTCAGCAACATCACCTTTAACATACTAGAGGTAAGGAGTATCCCTCCAGTTGTAACAAACAAAAATATTGCTAAATGTTCCCTGTAAACTGCACACATGCACACATGCATGCACACAGCTGGTCTAGGTTAATATCTAGTATGAAATAAAGCTGCTTCTTGTGATAAAACAAACAAACAAACAAACAAAAAGAACTACTGAAAAAAAAAATCCCAATCAGGCTGCAGAGATGGCTCAGAGGCTTAGAGTACTGACTACTCTTCCAGAGGACCAGGGTTCAATTCCCAGAACCCACATAGCAGTTCACAACTGTCTGTATCGCTAAGATCTGACACCCTCACACAAACATACACACAGGAAAAACACCAATGCAATAAAATAAAAACAAATAAATTGCTTAAAAAACCAATTAGATATTTCATTTTTTTCTTAGAAATAAATGAAATTCTGAGATACAAAAATAGGTCCAGGAGTCAACTCCCAACTAGATAAATACTTCATCAAAATGTCTCTTCTGGAGCCAGGCATGATGTTCAGGCCTATAATCCCAGTGACCAAGAGGCTGAAGCAGGAAGATTGTAACCTGAAGGCTATCCCACAGGCTAAACTAAATTAAAGAACAGCCTGAACTACATAGTAAACACACACACACACACACACACACACACCCTGTGCTGTAGTGGGCTTATTAAAGTGTATTGTGGTATTTTCAGAATTCGGTCTCTCTTCATGATGTACAGTGTAAATTTGATACAACCATACTTCATAACTTTAAAAACAACCTCTTGGCTGCACTGTTCTTTTCCTGTGATGGCGTTAAAGAATCCTTTTTTTTTTTTTTTTTCTCCTGTAGCACTGTCAAGTTCCTTCCCAAACAAGGGCAACATGTAAAGTTTCAGGGCAGGGGTATCATCCTCACCCTGCAGGAAAGAAAATTAAGGAGGGTCAAGACCCAATGCAAGTGTATGTTGGAAAATAATTGGGTTTTATGTTATGAGAGACTTTATGGAAGGAGGATGGGGTGGATAAAAACCAGGTGTGTGGGGGGTGCAGGGTGTGTGTGTGGAGAAATAACAAAGTTGGGAGCCTTAGTAAGACAAAAACTGTGATGGGATAGAGAACTATGTGTCTACACAGCAACCTTGAAATAGATCCTAGAAACCTTTCTAAAGCTTCCTGAAGCTTCTACCAGCCTTGAGCCATCATTGGATAGTTCCTGACCACCTTTTCAGCCTTCTCAACATAAGGTTCTGTGAAAGAGAAGCCTTTAAAATTCTGAAGCACTCAAACATTTTATGTGGAATAAGTAGATGACAGGAAAATTGAAATGGCGAAGCGGGAAAGGCTGATGGGAGACAGTGTTCTTGGAGAGGCTATTAATAGTGTCGCCAAGGCAACACTTCTGGAGGAATAGCAGTATGTATCAAAGCCCATGAAAAGATGAGATGAATACTGGTAGACAGATCCAGGTGCTCACTTTTGTTGGGCTTCGTGTTAAACAAGTAATCACAGGATATGCCCAAAGATGTGTGAGTTGCTGATCTACCCATTATTGTAGAGTAAGAAGTTATCACATGACATAGGAGCATGCTAACTGACAACAGAATCATGGCTTACTCACACAATGAAATAACAAGAACACAGTGCTATTAGAACATCTGTTCAGGGCTGTCCAGATGTCTTAGTGGGTATAAGCACTTGTCATGAAGCCTAAGAGTCCGATGCCTCTAAGCTACATGGTGGAAGAGGTTAATTGACTCTGGAAAGTTGTCCTCTGACCTTCACATCACACACACACACACACACACACACACACACACACACACACACACACACACACACTATAAAACAAAAAACCAAAAAAATCTTCCTTGAAAAACATTTTTTAAACCATATGCTCAGAAAGATCTATAGGAATACAAATCAAAATGTCATTGTTAGCTGTATAGTCATTTTTTTCTTTTTGTTTTTCGAGGCAGGGTTTCTCTGTGGCTTTGGAGACTGTCCTGGAACTAGCTCTTGTAGACCAGGCTGGTCTCGAACTCACAGAGATCCTCCTGCCTCTGCCTCCCGAGTGCTGGGATTAAAGGCGTGCGCCACCAACGCCTGGCTTGTGTAGTCATTTTTAATTGTTTTCTCAAAAACTATTTCTCTCTAACACACATACACATATATTCATATATATCAATACAGGGTCTTCCTCTGTAGCAGTTCTGATCTTCAAAGGAATTCTCCTACCTCAGCATTCCAAGTGCTGGTATTACAGATGTGAGTCACCATTTCTGGACCTTTAATTTTTTTCCACTGCTGTGAATATTCCATAATTGATAGAATAAATATGTATTGCCTTAATGCTAAAACTAAAGCCATATGGCCAGATGTAATGGCAACTCTGGCAGGAGGGCCATGAGTTTGAGGCCAGCCTAGATTATAGAATAAGACTCTCTCCAAAACAAACAAAGCAAGGGGAGAGGGTATTTGAAATAAAGGAAAATGGTGAAAACAAGAAACAATTCCCACAGTTCCTGCACACGGTGACACAGACAATGCTCTGTGTCTCACTTGTGGATGGTGGGTTTTCTAGTATTAACTTTAATGACCACCCTAACAGCTTCTGAAATGAGAAAGCCAGTGTACTCTATCCAGGCACACCAGCTGTTCTTTAAAACCAATTCCCAATATAACCATGGATAGTAACCTATTCGGAGCTTCCCAATTTTGAGGATATATAGGCATTTTTTAAGAAAAATATAAAACAATTACATTTTGATGAGGAAATAGGTGCCTGGACTGGTTAAATAATGAGATGTTTAGCAAAGATTTGAGCTCAGAGTCTAATTGCAGAGCCTGCAGTCTCACTCCTGAACTACATACAATGTTTTGTTTTGTGGGTGTAGTTTTGAGCTTGTGCAAATGATTTTGGGTCATGTGTGGCATGAGTAAGAGGTATTCGTAGAAAGATGGTCATAGGAAGCTAGCCACAGAGTAGGGGTTGTCTTTTGTATAGACCAAAATGTATTTTTGTTGACTATAATATGTGAGAACATGGTATAATTTATATGCTATAATGTACTTAAAACAATTTTTTTTTCCAGACAAGGTTTCTCTGTGTAGCTTTGGAACCTGTCTTGGAACTCACTCTGTAGACCAGGCTGGCCTCAAACTCACAAGAGATCAGCCTGCCTCTGCCTCTCAAGTGCTAGGATTAAAGGCATGTGCCACCACTGTACAGTTCAAAACAAATTTTAAAACACCAATAGGAGATACAATATGGAAATATTTTCTCAATAGGAAACTTACTCCTGGTGAATATATCAAGTTTTCAATTTCACTGTGAGTAGTATTTTAGAGTATGGAGAAGTATGAAAGACACTACATCTGAAGAGCTGAAGTTTATTTATTTGACAGCGGACTACCAAGAGGCAAAAATGTACTGCCAAATCTGGAGAAAGATAACTAACACAGCATTTAATGAGGTAAATTTTAAGAAAAAAAATACAGGATTGCATTAAGACACACATATACACTCTGTTGTTAGACAGACAGACCGACATTGAACTGACAGCAGGGAGCTCATACAGTGGAGCTTCAGCTGTTATTATTCTGCTATCTTCACTCCTTTGAAAATGTGTAGATTTTATATAAGGAGAAGAAGGGTGAAGCACAGAGACCCGATCGAGTGTTTCCTTTTCAGTAATGGGGAACAAAGACAAACCATAAAAACACCAGACAAGGACACAGACACTGGTTCCCATACCAATGAGAGGGCAATGGTAACAGTGACAGTGAACAACTGTGGGGACCCACAGCCTTCTCACATGGTGGCTCAGTTCATTCATTCATTCATTCATTCATTCATTCATTCAATTTATTTATTTATTTATTTATTTATTTATTTATTTATTTATTTATTTATTCCTGCAACGATGCAATTGAAATTTTATCATGATGAATAGTGCCTTTTGACTTAAAAAAAAAAAAATCCCAACAAAATCCAGGCTTCTGGATGCAAACATTTTTGTGTGACAGTTATTAAATATTTACAAGAAAACCTATGCTGTAATAATAAAGATCTCTGATACTAAGGTTTTTAATGTCTGCTAGCTTCTACTTAGCCATTCTTTCAGAAGTTCTTTTATACTATTTACTAAACACGTTCTGTAAAAGGTAAGAAATAATGTACATTCTCATGGTCACACACAGTGACAGACAGCAGTAACACTTTTATTCTAGCTGTGTATAGGTTGCATATGAGAGACATGGGTTGCACATTTTAGTGATCCATGCAGTGTAGGCTTACAGAAAAAAACAAAAACAAAAACAAAGCAAAACAATTAGACACTGGTCAGCCATGAAAACTTACCTTTCTAGTTACAACAGGCTTAACAACAAAATTACCAGCACTGACAGCTTCCTGAAAACCACGCTGGTCAAAGTTAATTCTGGTTAGAAGGGCCATAAAGACACTGGCAACCAGGAATTTTCCTGGCTCTCTGCATGGGGTTCAGACTAAGCTCTCCTTACATGGCTTTTTCCTATCCTGCAGGCATTACTTGAAGAAGCATTTCAGGCTTCAAATAAAAACAATCAACCTTCACTGAAAAGCTGGAAGCTGTTACTTTTGAGTCTCTGGTCCTGAAAACAGTTTGCTGTAGGTCCTTAAGGCAAATGCCAGGGCTCAAATTGGACTGAAAGTCTGGAGATGTAAACAATAATATCATGAGCAAGGGTTACAACCTTGGACAAAAGCTCTTCACAAACAAGCCTGTCTGGGTAAGACAGGCTTCTTGGCTTTTGAAGTTCATGCGTTTTATATACTAGAAGTACGGCATGTTCTGTTTTTTCTATTGTAGAGGCTTATGGACTAGATCAAAATTCATGGTGTTTCTTAAAAAACAAAAAGCACAGCATGGAGAAGCCACTCAAAAGCCTAGCAGTGTTTCGGGTTTGTTTTCGTTTGTTTCCTGTTCATATTTTGCTTACATGGTTGAAATATGGAAAACCAAACTGGGAAATCATAATGTTGGAATATTTTAAGGGCATGCCATTGTAGATATTAACAAGCTTATTTATACAATAAGATCTCTGCAGAAAGTGCTCTGCCCGGTGCCACATTCCAGAATGGCCATTGGTTTCTTTATCCAAAAGGGCCATGTTTACAGGTTTCACAAATACCCCCGAAGACTTCCCCGTGTGCTTGCTGATGATGAAATTCATGACAATATCATCGCAGTTTTGCGTCTCGTCAATCAGCGCATGGACGGCTGCAGGCTGCCTTTGGAAGAGTTCAAGGTATTTGCTGTTGAAGAAGGAGACTCCGATGAGCACCATGGAGTACTGGTCACCGCTTCCAGACCCTGGGGCCTGCAGTACAAAATTTCCGTAATTGTAGACACCTGATGGAGTAGAGATGTGTTTTCTAGGTACGAATCCTACAATCTGGTCAGGAAATTGCTGAAATGGAGGAGGAAAAGAACAATTAAATGTGGCATTTCTTTAGAGAAGACATAGACAAAATGTATTTATCACAGAGGATGTGACTGATGGGTCAACTTTTCCTTATTCCTTATTTTTACATTTTCCTTGTGTTTACATCCTAATTTCTCCTAACTCTAGACAATCTCGTAACTTTGTTTCCTGATAAGTTTACAGCTTAAATTCTATCACAACCCAAAATCTCTCTGAAAAAGTATTACCTTACAAATATTCTCCTGATTCTAACATGTGAACTAAGCAAATTTTAGTCACCATGGAGTCTAGTCCTTCCAAGTTTGCTATAAGATCATGATGGGTGTGGTGGCATATACCTTTAGTTCCAGCACTAGGGAGGCAGGGGTGGGCAGACCTGTGTGAATTTGAAGCCAGCTTGGTCTACAGAGTGAGTTCCAGGACAGGTAGGATTATATAGAAAGAGCCTGACTCAAACAAACCAAACAAACCAAAAACTATCTCACCCCAAAACAACAAAAACCCAAAAGACAAAAAAAGGTTGATCACATAAATATTATTATAGGAGATAAGATGGAAGTGATCATTTTGAAAATCTAATCATATATATATATATACATATATATATATGTATATGTATATATATATACACACACACACATACACACACACATCCATAGAGCTGACTTTTACTGCTTTTCAATGTTGATTTTTTTTTCCTCTGTTGATTTTAATGGTCTTAAATTTTATGCCCTTTTAGATTGAGATATTTCCTTTTCAAAAATATGAATTTAAATAAGTAAATGCAACACAAATTACACATTTACACATACAGGTAAGAGATAAGATCTTTGAAGAAAGAATAGATAGTAGCAAAAACAATCATATTGAGAAGGGGCAAAAAACAGCAAACAAATCACTGAACTTACAAGGTTGAAGTTTAAAAGTGTAATTCATTCTTGTGAGTAATGTGAATTTTAACCAGTTTGAGTTTCATTTGCCAAGGCAAGGGGCATGCACACACACACACACAGTCTAGACTGAATTAAATTTCACTTCAAATAGCTCAGAGAACAATGAAGGTATTCACACTGTGAGTGGGGATTCCCATACCCTGAACAGTCAGATGGCTATAAAGGTAGTTGGGTAAGGCATATGAGTGCACTGAGGATAGTGATAACTGTGTGGCTGGAGGCAGACTGGATGTTCAGGGATGGATGGATGGATGGATGGATGGATGGATGGATGGATGGAT